CTTGGGGAGAACGGGGTTGACCCCCGGAGGTTTACCCCCCCCCCCCCCCCCCCCCCCCATTTTTTTTTTTACCTCGTTTTTTTTTTTTGTGGTAACCATAATGGTGGTCGAGTAGATCATGTTGTGCGTGGTGGAGAAGCCTCACTCCGCGCAACGGGGGATGATCGCACCACGTCGTGTTAAAATGGTAAAGCATCCTCGAGGGAGTTACACAGTGCTTACCACTGTCTCTGGAAGTGAAAGCACCAGAAAATAAATTAAGTCATACGCAGCTGTCATCCGTACGAAAGGAAGTAAGCACAAGATGCCGAACACCCTTAGCAGGATGCAGCTCACCCTTCATGCGACTCGCCAAATACCTCACGGCGCTTCGCGCTTGGTGATGTGAGAGCCTGGTCCGGTGAGAACCCGGCGTGCTCCGTCCCGGCTTTGTAGGGGTGCGAGGTCAATGGTCTAACGACTACGGCATGCACGACTATGAGTACACCCCGCCCCCCCCCCCCTCCTGCTGCATATGTGTGTGTGTTCGTCCCATTATTCTGGCTCCAATTTTGCCCCCTCTTGGGTTAAGTACATGTTTGACGTGTCAGTCGGTGACACAGGCGGAACGCTGCACAGGAGCTTGCGCAGGAGATTTTTTGTTTCTTGTGTGGCATCAACTGTTTTACGTTGACCGACCGTTAAATTTGTCATATTTACTTGTTTTCTCCGGACGAGGCAAAAAGTTCGTCCGGCAGTTCTCACCTACAAACGCCCGTGTCACTAGAGTCTGCCCTGCCCTCATCAAGCGATTGCTGCTATTTACCTACACTGCCACTGCTGCCGCCAGGTGTCCTACGAGGTGGCCCGTGTGCTGAAGCCCGGAGGGGTGTACTTGATGACCGACTACCGGGACCCCGAGCGGGTACAGGAGCTGTTCGAGCGCGACGAGTGGGAAAGCGGCTCCCTCACGTGAGTTTTGTCTTCCAAGACCGACGAAAAATATCGCAGGCACTTGCAATGCTTTTTTATAACGTCCTCTGTGAATTTTCATCCCTTGACCCAGACTGTGGCGGATGACTATTGGCGAGCAAGGATATTGCCCCCCCCTGCACTGAAGCTCGCAGCCCAAGAGGCGCCAGACTATCATGTGCAGTCCGGGGAGGGGGGGGGGGGGGTCTCGGAGAGGTGTTTAGGGACCAGCACCGCGAGTGTTTTCGGCTGAAGGCCTGTGTAGAAAGTTGAGCTCGCCCCCACCCCGTCCCCTCTCTCTTTCCCGCCCTGTTCGCTGTTAACTTGCGTTGTGCAATCAGGCAAGAAGGAAAGATCACCTCCAAGGTGCATCTCTTCAAGGGAAAGCGCTCGTCTGTGGAGCCACAAACGCCCGACTTCTTGGAGGAGTTGATAGAGGAGGTAGAGGGGGACGTTCAGGGAGAGGTGCTGGAAGCGAGCCCGCAGGAGGACTCTCAGGAGTGGCTGGCAGATGCAATCGCCCAGGGCACCATTACTATACCGGATGAAGGCCCCGCGGATGAGGTGCCTCACAAGGACGTGGGGCAGGACAAGCCCTTCAAATTTTAACCAAGCGTCCTTGGCGCTATTTTGTGTGGGTGTTTTCGTTGGCGAGCATCGTCGATGGCGCTATCGTACCCCGCCTGGCCGGCCAAATGAAAATGTCACGTCGTCGTTGTTGCTATCGTGCAACTGGCCGTGTTTGTTTGTGTGTGTGCTTGGGCGGGTGCTTCGTGCGGTTCGTGTGCGAAGGCTTGTGTACCTTCTGTAGTGACCCTGACGGGCCTTTGGACACGGGTCATGTAGGGCTCGAGGAGGAGAACTGGAGCTCACGCATTCTGACGAACAAGCGTACGGGATGACCGCGAAGTAACCATTCACACCATGCTGAAATTGACCTACTCCCCCCCCCTGCTGGAATTGTTATCGGGAGGTCGGGAAGCCGCTGATGACCCCGTTTTGACGTGAGTTCCCTTGCTTGACACCCAGGCAGGGGTGTGTGCCTGTTGGCATGTTGTTCAGAGAAGTCGCAGCAGAACAACCAGGTGGTAGAGTAGTGTGTGTGCCCCGACTGTTTAGGCTAGTATGGGGGTCACGAGCGACCACAATACATCCGATCCCCGGCGCATAATCTGATCAGCACGGACATACGAAGGTACTGGGTAGAGAGAGATCGGAACGGTTTTTAATGTGAAGACAACAACAACAACAACAACAACAATCTGTCTCAAGCGCCACGGTTGTGTTCCGTGCTTGGAACAATTGATCGCCAGACGAACAAAGACGAATCCTGGAGTCAGCCGGTTAACGTGAGATTTTGAAGGATCAGAACCCCACAAACGCACCAACGTAAATCGTGAGATTCGTTCGTTCATACTCCTTCCTGTACCCCCGGTGCAATGGCCGGCCTTTACGTGATGCATGTCATTGACATTAGACCGAGTCTCCCGAGTTTTTCTCCTTTTCTCTCAGCAAACAAGTGGCGATGCAATTTATGCAGATCGGGCTAAACAAAACCGACAATCCCAGTTACCGTACTACACGTGCCCTTTTACCAACACCATGCAACACCACGAGAATGAGCATAGGGGGCGACGCGACTTGAATTTGTTGGATAACGTACTACTGTACCCACGGCGCCCCTGCGAAAGCGGGCGGATCCAACCATGCATTGCGCATTGCCCTGGGCGTACTGGGATAGCTCTGGACACCTCTACAGAATGGAAGTCCTATGCGAAGCCGACGCATCGAATCCTGCACAAGTCGAAAAGAATGCGGAAGCCATCAAGCAGTGAGTATTTTTCTTTGTCAACTATCACCGATCGGATCTGATCGATGTGTACAGCGAGAGTACATAAAACACTCCGCACTCACACAGCAGGGGTTGTTTGACCTCTACAGTAGCGCAGCTGCCATCCAACACTGATCGAAGCGACAGAGGTATTGATGTTGTGTGAGTTGACCTTCGTAAGAGCGATGGAATTCGCCGTGGTGTCCTTAGTCTCTCTGCTCTGTGCCAGGAATACATGGCATATCGCTATATGCATACCACACTTGACCACACCCCAACTGCTAGATGTATGTTCAGGCCCACAGCGGTACAGCAGTCAATCGAGAGGGACAGCAGCAAGTTAACACAGCAGAGAGAGAGAAAGAGTAGAAAGAAAGATACAGCCCCTCGTAGCCAAGTTCGCACGCGTTTCACGAAGCCTTACATCAGTTTAGACTACCATATGCCAACAAGACAAAACACGCCGTTCCGCCGGTGCTCGCAACAACAGACGCGGCAACGAACACTTCATGGCCAAGCGACACAAAGAAGCCGTAGAGTGCTACAGCCAGGCCATAAGCTTGAGTGCGTCGAATCACGTCTTGTACGGCAACAGGAGGTGAGTGCCTCACGCCAACCACAAGCACAGACAGATAGACGGGTCTCCTCTTCCGGTTACCACAGCAGTCGGCTGATGTTCTGCTGACAGGTATATCCGCATGGACTTGTCGCCGAAGCTATGTGGAGGCCTAACATGTGTCACGTGCTGTCCTCGCTTGCTGCAGCCCCCCCTCCCCAGAGCTTCCCAGTCTGAAACACTTTATGTGCGCCGTGCGTTGGACAGTGCCGCCCACGGTGGTCTTGGTGCCTGGGCTCTGGCTGCTGCCGACGCCAGGAGGAGTGTCGAGATAGAGCCGGGATATACGAAAGGTATCTAGGGCAGGTCTTGAGCGCGGAGGCATCTACACTGCTGTGGGATGTGATAGGGGTATTGTCAAGGGTCCTGCACATGCAGTGGCACGAGTGTGGAGGTAGTTTCTCACCCTGTTCTTATACAGATATCTGGGCATGCACGTGTATCGCGGGGACAGCAGACGTACAGGCAGCAGTGGTAGACGTTTCACCTTGCGCCTCGCATGTCCCCTTGATTCATTCGTGGCGGCAGGGTTCTATCGCTTGGCACAGGCGCTCATCGCATTGGACGAGTCAGCTGAGGCGGAATCGGCTATTGAAAACGGTCTACGCGCCGATCCCGGTGCGCAATCCTATGCATTCCTTTGGGCAGTCGGCCACAGTAGTGGGTTGGGCTAAGTGTGCACTGACGTGAGGGCAATAGGCCCTACTTGTGAACGATTAGCTGTAGCTCGGCTAGTAGTGGGCATCTCTAAAAGTTGAAATCGTCGCCGTGCCTGCCGTTGTAGTAGTCCACCTGCTGTACACGAGGATATTCGTTGTTGGTCCTCTAGCCTACCGCCGTTTCCCTCCCACGGCATGTAGGCAGCGAGCCTACCTCCCAACCAGCAAACGCTTACCGACCTCACGTGTTGGTGCAACAATCGACGCTTTTCCCGCTCACGAACGGCAGCAGCGAACAAAGAGATGGCTGCATTGAAGAGAAGAATCGCTGGCAGCCGCCGCAGACACACGCAGCAGGTTGGCAAGGGAGCAGTAGCAGCAACAGGAGGAGGGGGAGGAGTGCCAAAGAAGGCCGCGAAAAGCATCGATTTAGGTCGGGCCGGCCTGTACGACGACAAGGAAGCGCCCGACAACAACACTCAAGACCAGGCGAGCGCTGCCCACAGTCATTGCCGTGTTTCACGTCTGGAGGCTGCGATAATTTTTGCTCGAAACTAGCTACCCGTAGCTGCCCAAGCTCGCCTGCAGCAAGGCCGCCTACTGGCGGTGATAGCCTGGAAGGAACATGTAGTCACTTTGTTTTCACGCGCGAAGCCCGGTCATGTGTTGTCTGTATTGTTTTTTCGATTCTGGTATTTGTTTGCGATGGTTTCGTTTTCCTGCGTTGGACGTGTGGGGCCCGCCGCCGCCCCGCCAAAAGACCGCGTCACAAGCAACGGCATCCTTGCAGAGGCAGGCTCAAACAGCCCATCCTTGTTCTCCACCCTGCTCAATCTCCAAGTTCCCATTCTTGTCCTTCCCCGCTCGAACCTGCACGCCTACTCTGCAAACAAACCCTTTCAGCAAGCGAACGAAGCCGGGAGCTTGAAAGCGCTGTTCTCCTCTCTGCGAGACAGCATAGTAGCTGCTTCATCGAACGGGTCGCTCGGCAACGGTCCCGCGCGTCACGACTTGGACGGCGTGTTCTCGAAGCTTATCGAGCCGGAGCAATTCCGACGAATAGCGCTCTCCCGGCTGCCGGAAGACGAGCGCCGACAAGCGCCGTCCTCGTTTCAGGTTTTGCAAAAAATGAGGCGTCATTTTGTTTGGTTGTTTATCGCCGATGGTGTCTACTTTGTGCTTGCCTTTGGCCATGGGGACGCGTGAGTCGGAGCGCGTGTGTAGCGTGCACCGAACTGCGCGGGGGCTTTTGAATAGCGTCTACTTCGAGCAAGGTTCCGGGGTCGTTCTTCCCTTGTTGGGTGGCTGTCCAACCTATGAAGGGTGCACAGTGCCAGTGGTGTGACGCATGTATCCGTGGTTGTCCTTGCGACGGATCACATCGCACATCACAAAGAGGCAAGAGCCGGCAGAACTTGCAAAGACTAAGCGGAGTTTTGAGAAGCTACGCCAAGAACAGAGATAGCTCGTGGCGCACCTACTCTTTGACCTACGATTTTGCTTGCCCACGACCTGCCTGTCTATCGTTGAACCGCCTTTTCTTAACGTCTAGTTCCCCTTCCTCCTCTTGCAGGAGCTGCTCCGAACCCCGCTTTACGCGTCGGCCTTGGAAAAAGCCCTCCCTCGAGTCGTGTCCACGGCGGCTTCCGTGCTGGAAGGAGTCAAGAGGAGGGGGCGCGAACAGGGGGACATCATGGACTCCGCCACCGAGGAGGCTCTCAAACCCCAGGCAATACGGCCACAAAGAAACAGCCGTAGTAGGGGACGGCATGCGGCTTTTGAAGAGATGTAGACGCCCAGCCGTGCTGAAACCTCGCGTGGGATCATTAGACGCGCCAAAAGAGTTTGTGGTGTATTTTGAGTTTTTTCTCTCGACACATGTCGCTGGAGTCGTAAGCCCTCGTTGCCGCCGACGGCGTCTTGTAGTCGCCCTCTGTGTGCGGGCGTGGTTGAAGGGTTTCTGTCCGCTTGCGAATGTAGTGCTGCCCTTGCCCATGCTTCCGGCGCAGCTGTCTCTCTCTCTCTCTCTCTCTCTCTCTCTCTCCCCCCCGCCCCCCCGCCCCCCTCTCTCTCTCCTCCCCTCTCTCTCTCGCTCTCTCGCTCTCGGCCTTTTTCTGCCGGTGTTGAAGCAACCCTCGGTCTAGCAAAAATATCGCTTTATTGCACCGATGATAATATCGAATACCGGTTGTTTCTATCTTGTCAGGTTTTGCAGGAGGCGTTTGCGCGTGAGGTGATCGGCGTCATCACCATGGTACAGGCGACGGCGAGGGCACAGGTAAGACATCGATTCAGATATCGCCACAGCTATGATTCGGCGGGGCAACGGGGGGGGTGGGGGCTGTTTGGCGAGTGAAGCAATCCAGCCTTTCCCCAAAACCAATGTGGTCAAGATGTAAGCCCATCCATGCTTGGTTGTGTACTGCATGCTGTGAACCCCTCGAGTTTCGCTTGAACTCGTTGTAATCATTCGTGGAAGAATTTTTTTCGATCGGCCGAACTCGTATGTGTGATCAGGCGGTAATAGAAGCGGGGAAGGTGGCGTCGCCGGTCTGCGAAGAAGCTTCTTGGGATCAACTACACGACACTACCGTGGCCGACCTGTCGAGAAGGGGGAGGCGTTTTTCCGTCCAGGTGTGTGCGAGGACCCCCGGGAGGACCGACGAACCTGCCTTGCGGGCAATTTGCCGCTCGCTGCCTTGCAGCACAGCGATCATCAGTATACCCGCCGAAACTGGACGACGCGTAAAACGAAGGTTGCCGTGCAGACGCGCGTCAAGGATATGTGCACCGAACAACATCATTTCGTGTACATACCGTCTAACTTTGAGAGGCAACGCGTGCGCGAAAATAACAAAAGCAGAGCCTGATTTCGTGCCTCGTTTCTGCGTACCCCTACAGCCAGGTGTCGCACACACAGCAACACGTTGTCGAGCCTAGGCAATCCTAATCGCCCCCCCCCGAAATTGTTTTTTTTGCGGTAACCATAATGGTGGTCGAGTAGATCATGTTGTGCGGGGTCGAAAACCCTCACTCTGCGCAAGGGGGATGATCGCACCACGTTGTGTTAAAATGGTCAAGCATCCTCGAGGCAGTTACACAGTGCTTACAACTATCTCTGGAAGTTAAAGCACCATAATTTAAGTCATACGCAGCTGTTACTTACGCAAGGAAGTAAGCACAAGATGCCGAACACCCTTAGCAGGATGCAGCTCACCCTTCATGCGACTCGCCGAATACTTCACGGCGCTTCGCGCTTGGTGATGTGAGAGCCTGGTCCGGTGAGAACCCGACGTGCTCCGTCCCGGCTTTGTAGGGGTGGGAGGTCAATGGTCTAACGATTACGGCATGCACGACTATGAGTACCCCCCCCCCTCCCCCCCCCCCCCCCGAAAGTGTTTGTGTTCTGAGCGAGTCACGAAAACCCGTCGGAATACGTAGCGCCCAAAGGCTGATTCCTCGCGCTGCGAAAAACACGCCTCCTCCTGCCCATCGCCTCCATCCAGGACTCGTTTCTTGGCGAGGAGTGGGTGTCCCCGCTGCTGGAGGACAGCGCTCGGTTCCAGGCCGCCGGCAAGCTGCACCCCCTCGGCCTCGAGCCTGAGCACGGCGAGATGGCGTGGGTTGAGCCCGACAACCTGGAGTTCGGCTTCCCCGCCCTTCACGAGCTGGTCGTCAACTTGCACGCTCTGGCTTTCGAGCTCAATCTAAAGGATCCCAAGCTGGGGCTCCGCCGGGCATTCCAGGGTAATCAGAGGGTGGCATCCATCTGTCCTGGTTTTTGTTTGATTCCCAGGCTTGGGAGCATCTCCGGGGGGGGCGGGGGGGGGATTTCTGGCAGAGTGCAGCCTTGAGTGTTGTTTTTTTGTCTCAAAGAGGGGCCGGAAACAGGACAAGTGAGGACCGGAAAAATCTGGCTGGTGCGTTCTCGCCGTTCATTTGCAACACCTAGATCACGAAACCACTACTGCTTTTGTAGTGTCGGACAGATGCCTCCAGCGGCAACGCTTTGTTTTTTTTTTTCGCCGACTTCTCGCCTGAAGTTCTTGCGCTGCCCCAACGGCCGTGCCCGCGACAGGATCGACGATGCTGCTAAGGCTAACAGAAGGGTGCCGGGTGCCGGTTCGTCTGGACAGCGTCGCCGGTGGGGCGGAGACAGGGCACAAGATCTCCGCGGTGTACTTCGTCGGGCGAAAGGGAGGCAGTGATGCCGACAAATCACAGCAGGCTTTGAGCGAAGAAGGCGACGCAATCAACGCCGGAGGGCAGTTGAGACTCAAGAACATGGAGACGAACGCCCCTCTCGCGGAAGGCATTGTCGGTGGCAGCAGCGGTAATGCATCGCCTCTCGAAGGTAACCCGCCGCAGGGAAGAGAAGAAGTCAACACCTCTACCTTGGACGGTAGCAGAAACACCGACGTGAATGGCGGCGGAAGCGCGCCCGATGGTTTAGGGTTTGCAGGACCGCGGGGGGGGAAGGGGGGTGAAGAGTCTACTGTGGGACAGGGGGCAGTTGTCGAGTTGGAGCCTACGGCAGACCGACTGGTCATGTTCCGCAGCGACTGCGTCTCCACCCAGACCCTGGAGGTCTTGGGCCACGAGCGAGAGCAGTACGCGATGTTGTTCTGGATGCACGGGGCGAGGGGTGGGGCCGGCGACGTTGCTGGCGGTGATGGTGGTGGTGGCCTTAAGACGGAGGCGGAAGACCTGTCTCCGTCTTCGCAGAGGGAAGATGGTGGCGAGGAGAAGGACGTCGGCAAGGGAACCGGCTTGTGATGTTTGTGTAGCGTTTCGCTGTTCGTCGCTACAATGACTGTGGTTGCTGAAGGCTAACCCCCGTTGCAGGAAACACTTGCACTTCCCTCGGACTTCCAGCGAGATGGATGAGATTTGCAAGAGAGGAAGCACTTGAAAGATTAGCTAGGAAACGCTTGAACTTCCCCCAGATATGCAAAAACAGAGAGTTGTGCGCTTGCGTATGAGAGGGGGAAAGAAGGGGGGGTGGTATGGCAGCGGATTGTAAATATCGGGGCTGCATGAGAGAAAACGAGCTCGCGTTTCGCAGGGAGGCAGACGCACACTCTCGAATCTGGGATTTCGGTTGGAATAAATCGGCACATCTGTGTCCAACGGTCTTAACTCTAATACCAGCCGCGATTTTTGGCATCCACACAAACAGAACGGCAAGAAATCGAAAGCAGCACCGCTGAAACTGTGATCGCCACAGCCATCTTTTGTGTCAGCGACAAACCGGAAGCAGTTCCACTGATTTTCGAGACGTCTACTGTCACGTCGAGCAGGCGCACTGCTGTACTCGTGAAAACTCGGTCTTTGCCAGCACCGTCACCCAAGGTTGCGCGCGGCAACGCTGCCAAACGATACGATCCCTTCATGTCCCGCGCTTCTGTCGGAACCCAGCTCGCGTCGAGCGGTACAATGGTCACCATCGCCGCCGCTGCCGCCGCCCCCAGAAGAGGCGGTGGCGCTACTGACGGCAGCCTCCCGGGCTCCGGTTTTGCTGCTAGCACTGCGGACGCCGTCCCCAAGGGTGCGCAGGAGAGATGCAGCCGTCACCGTCTCTCCGTGACCGGCCACGTCTAGAGCTGCAAGCGCGAGGGCCCGGGGGGGGTGTCGCCCGTTATCTCTTCGGCGGGCCTCCTGGATGAGGGGGACGAACCCCCCGCAGAAGTGGAGTGGTTGGGCAGGGGGGGGGGGGGGGTGTACTCATAGTTGTGCATGCTGTAGTCGTTAGACCATTGACCTCGCATCCCTACAAAGCCGGGACGGAGCACGCCGGGTTCTCACCGGACCAGGCCAGGGGGGGGGGAGGGAGGAGGGATTGCTGTGTGTTCATCGGACAGAAACGTTGTACATCGGAGAGCTCCAAATAAAATGTTCTTTTGCAAATCACGAGAGTGTGCTACTGTATAATAGTTGTGTTCGTGAGCTGTTGCCCTATCGCCGGAATAGAGCCACACCCATGCAGATGGCTGTGGGGAGTCCTCACATGTGAGCGTGGGCCACTACGTATAACAGGTACAGTAGAAGGCGAGCCCACACCGCCAAGAGACCAAACCGTGTTTCTATTTTTGACATTTGTTTTTGAACAAACGTTTAGACTACCTTCCAAACAAACCAAAGCGGATACCGAAAAATAAGCCACACAACAAGTCGTGCTCTTTTTTCACCTCCACCTCTCGTGCCACCTCGGGTGTGGCAGCAACGCGGAACCACACCCTCCCCCGAGAGCGGTGCGCCAGAATCCCCTTGTTTTTCGGGGTCCCAGCAATGCCAGTGTCGGCGTAATCTGCTTGGCTGCTGTGGTATGACCAACCTGGCACAAAACAAGATGAGGTAGGAGGGGGGGTTATTCGGGCAGTTGCTTCAGAGGGCGAGCAGTGGTATATGTCGAGCTCGTCTTGAACTACTCCCTCCCTGACGGGCATCAACCGTGTTCGGAGGGGTGGGGGGGTCTGTTCTTGCCGCGACTGTCTGTCGAGCCCCCGTCGAAGTCTCGGAGGAAGCCCCAACCGGCCAGCCACATGCGACCAGTCGTCCTGCATTTGTGCGCAAAAGCGTTTGATGCACGGTAGCGATCGGACAAAGCAGATCAGATGGAGCCACGCACGAGGAAGGATTAAATACACAGCCACCGTGCTCTTGTAGGTTCACGCGAGTTGGTGGACAACACGCGCAATAGGTTATAGAGAGCCTTGAAAACCCCACTTTTTGGCTCTGCCACCCCACCTACCGGCAACAGCACAGACAAACAAGCGGTTTCTTAAGAGATTGCCGCGCGCCATATCTGAGTTTCCGCGCATCGTGTCAAGGTCATGGTGTTCATATCTACGCAACACCGCCCATATGACACACCGATTGACGACCAATACCCGTGTCATGAGTAAAGAAGAAAAGTACCTACACGGGTAGACGATTCTATCTTGTTTCTGTCAGGAAGGTATGCTTGTTCAACCGTCCACGGAGTGCATCTCGACTTCGTGACGCAGTCATCGAGAACTAAAACTGCATTCTACGGCTACTGCTACTGTAGGAGCGTTAGGTGAACATATCATATTTATCCAGAAATTAGCCTGCCGCACAAAGGAAAATGCGACTGCTTACTTCGGAGGGTCTTGATCTCGAGGTCTGGAGGAGCCCAATCCCGGCACTCCTGTCCACCTACGGGTGTGGCAATTTCCGATCGGACGGGGGCTCAAGCTTTGTAGGTCGGGCGAGCTCTAGGGGATGTTTATTTCAGGTCCCAAGGCAGGTTGAAAGAGTTGTATATAGGCGACGGATAGCTCAACAACGAGACAGGTAAAAACACCCCCAAGAGTTTCAGAAACCGTTGCCACCGTGTGGGGTCACGTTCACAACTGAGACGGCGTACTCCCCTCCCCACCACGCGCGCTGCCCTGTCGCCGATATAGTCGTGCCTCTTCCGTGTTGAAAGCAAGATACCGCCAGGCATCCTTTTGACAGGATCAATACGGTGGGGAAAGCCAATGACCCCCGATAACACCTCAGCGAAACGCGGCAAACTGACCGTGTTCCGTCCACACACATGGAAACAAAAAACAGCGGTTTCAAAGCACGTAGTTGTACCATGGCGTCGCAGACAAACAAAAACACGTGACGCCATGGCGTGGCAGAAGAAAAAACGCGTCTCTCACGTGTTGAGAAAGGGTACTCGGGTTTCCGTTTGTCGGTGTCTCTCGAGCCAAACACCTCGGTCTCCGTTCCCGTGGAGCATCCTTCGAGAAGGGCCAAGCCTCACCTGTCCAAAAGCGGGTCAGAAACGGAACAAGGATGTAAGTATCCCCCCCCCCACAAGTGTCTTCACAGGAGGAAAGCAAGGGCTCAGTCGATGGGCCGTAAAGCAACAGACATTGACTACCTTCGTAGCGGTGAGAGTCACAGCAGTACACGAACTCTGTCCTGCCCCCCTCCCCCCCACATGCAGTTAGTGCCCACCTGGTTGGCAAAAAAACATGACGTCGCGTGTTCTGCTTGGATAGTAGCCTAGGGGGACGAGAAAAAAAACAGTCTTAAGACTGAAATTTCTTTCATGTGCAAACGTGTATACCTCTCGCCTTCTGGAACAAGCCGATTGGACCAATCCGAGCTCGAGGTGACCACGTCGCACCAATCGGCTAATGGAGCAAAAAGTAGGGACGTTCAAGGTCAACAACTTTCCGTAGTTCTCTCAATGTGTCCGGGTGGACCATCGTCATACTACTGCTGTTGTTGTGGCTCACTCCGTTTTTCATCCACCGATGCCTCAACACCAACACTACAAAAACGCCGAGGCAGCGTCCCGGTGCGACAAAAATACAAGCACGAAATTATTTAATTCGATTATCGCACGACGATCGGTGATATCGCATGTACGTGATATTGCACCCCCGTACGTTCTCTCGCACCCTTACGGAAACTCACCCCTCGGTCTGGTACCAGTCCCTCCTCCAACACGCTGCGGTATTTCGCCTGGCCAAAAGGAAGAAAGATAAAAAACGCCGCCGCCGCCGCCGGTGGTTTGGACGTCTAAGTCTCTCGACAACGCATCTTGCGAGAGATGGGTTTGGCGGCTTGTCCTGTGATGGTGAGCGCTTGTAGCACGCACGCATCCATTCGAGCGGATTACTGTCTCTCGCATCGTGTGACGATACATGGGTATGTCGGCCCCGCCAGCCCGGACACCGTCATATCCCACAACTTGCCGGTTACGGGAAAGCAGGTTGGCTCATTACAACTGCCTTTTTGAGGTGCCATGAGAACATTCCGACCACCACCCCTACCAGCAGAACATTCCCGACCACAGGACCGCGTCAATTCTTTCTCGTTGGCTGCAGCAACCCCTCTGTCCACGCGCTGGTGCCGGTTGGTGAGCCTGAACAATGTATGTTCCGTAACCGCCAAACCATGTACCGGTGCATGCCTCAGTCACGTGCTTCGTAGACATCAGAATTCGCTTGCGGAAACATGGCACAGAACAGGGCACCGCGAGCATCGACACATCTAGTCTAGTCCCCGCTTGGAAATAGTTAGCCCCCCGTCGGCGTCCCCTTCTCCTGCACCCACCTCCGCGCTGCAACGCCGGGGAGGTTCGCCCCCGCACCTCCAAAACGCCTCCGACGTGATGCAGCGGGTCCCCCCGTACCGCCCTCGGAACCGCAACCACGGGGGCTCGCTTCCTCTGGGGTGGTCCAGCTGGACGGCGTGCGGCCGCCACACCTTCCCGTCGCCCCCGCAGATGTCATCGCCGAGGCCGACGAAGCGCCGCCACCTTCCAAGCGCGCGCGCGCGAGAGAGAGAGAGAGAGAGAGAGAGAGAGAGAGAGAGAGAGAGAGAGAGAGAGAGAGACACACACACACACACAGGCAGACAGAGACAGACAGAGAGGCGCAGAGGCGGGACTGTCAGACGCGGGTTTCGGCATCAACCCAGGTGTCTCACTTGACACCGCCCCCGGGTTTCGGCATCAAATTAGCCATACCCTGTGCCTTTGCTCGCCAAGTGCGAATCCCTGTGAGTGCTGAACCTGATACGTCGATTGCTGAGCTTGCGAGGAACTGCGTGATCGCTGTTGGATGTCGTCATACTGCCGCTTGACTGCTGTTCTACACAATACTATCGAAGTAGATCGTTCTCCGCAGATCTAGTGCACCATCTCTGCCCAGGTGAGTTGTTTTGAATGATGACCTGGTTAATATCGAGATAAAGCCTTGTCTGTTTCATGGTACACGTATGTACGGAGAATCGAACTCCGGGCGTAACCGTGGGAGGGCTACATGTTGTCGGTTTCGCCTTTTCGGTTTCACGTTTTCGGCTCAATTTTTTCGTTTTTTTCGGTATGTTGAACCTTTTTCGGTTAAACCTTTTCGGTGTTGGTTCAATCTTTTCGGTTTCATGCTTTCGGTTTATCCTTTTGCCTCAACCTTTTCGGTTTCGCGTTTGTGGCTTAAATTTTCCGGTTTAAGCTTTCGGATTTTACCCTTTCCGCTTCCTTTTCGGTCCTTGTCGGTTTAACCTTTTTCGGTTTCCGTTTAATCTTTTCGGCTTGTCGGCTTCACGTTCTCGGTTTCACGTTTTCGGTTTTTTATCCTTTTCGGCTCAAATTTTTCGGTTTCGCGTTTTTGGCTTGACTTTTCGATTTTTTCGGTTTAAACTTTTCGGCGTAACCATTTCGGCCCTTTTCGGTTTCGGTTAAATATTTGCGGTTTAATCTTTTCGCCTTGAACTTTTCGGTCATTTTCGGTTTCACGCTTGCTTTCAGTTTCACGTTTTCGGTTTATCCTTTTCGGCTTAACCTTTTCGGCTTCGGTATAATCTATTCGGTTTAATCTTTTCGGCTCATCCTTTTCGGTCCTTTTCGGTTTCACGTTTCGGTTTATTGTCCTTTCGGCTCAACCTTTTCGGTTTCACGTTTTGGGTTTCACGTTTGTTTTCGGTTTATCCTTTCCGGCTGAACCTTTTCGGTTTCACGTTTTCGGCTTTACTTTTTCGGTGTAATTTTTCGGCTTAAACTTTTCGGTTTATCCTTTTCGGTCCTTTTCGGTAGACCTTTTGGGTTTCACGTTTTGGGTTTCACGTTTGGGTTCGGTTTATCCTTTTCGGCTCAACCTTTTCGGTTTCATGTTTTCGGCTTAACCCTTTCGGCTTAATCTTTTCGGCTCAACCTTTTCGCCTTTCCTTTTCGGTCCTAACCGGTTTCTTCACGTTTTCGGTTTCACGTTTTCGGCTTAACTTTTTCCGTTTGATCTTTTCGGCTTAACCTTTTCGGTTTCTCTCATGTTTTCGGCTATATTTTTTGGGTTTAATCTTGTCGGCTTAACCCTTTCGGCGTATCCTTTTCGGTCCTTGTTGGTTTCACTTTTTTGAGTTTCACCTTTGGGTTCGGTTTACCCTTTTCGGCTCAACATTTTCGGTTTCAAGTGTTCGGCTTAACTTTTTCCGTTTAATCTTTCGGCTCAACCTTTTCGGTTTAATCTTTTCGGCTTATCGTTTTCGGTCTTTTTCGGTTTCACGTTTGTCGTTTCACGTTTGTGTTCGGTTTATCCTTTTCGGCTCAACCTTTTCAGTTTCACGTTTTCGACTTTACTTGTTTCGTGTACTCTTTTCGGCTTAAATTTTTCGGCTTGTCCTTTTCGTTCGTTTTCGGTTTCACGTTTCGGCTTAACTTTTCCCGTTTAATGTTTTCGGCTTCACCTTTTCGGCTTCACCTTTTCGTTCCTTTTCGGTTTCACGTTTGTCGTTTCACGTTTGTGTTCGGTTTATCCTTTTCGGCTCAACCTTTTCAGTTTCACGTTTTCGACTTTACTTGTTTCGTGTAACTCTTTTTCGGCTTAAATTTTTCGGCTTGTCCTTTTCGTTCGTGTTCGGTTTCACGTTTCGGCTTAACTTTTCACGTTTAATGTTTTCGGTTTCACCTTTTCGGCTTCACCTTTTCGTTCCTTTTCGGTTTCACGTTTGTCGTTTCACGTTTGTGTTCGGTTTATCCTTTTCGGCTCAACCTTTTCGGTGTAACGTTTTTGGCTTAACCTTTCTGGTTTAATCTTTCGGCTTATCCTTTTCGGCTTGTCCTTTTCGTTCCTTTTCGGTTTCACGTTTTGGTTTATCGTTTTCGGCTTAACCTTTTCGGTTTCACGTTTTCGGCTTGACTTTTTCGGTTCAATCTGTTGGGCTTATCCTTTTCGGTTTCGTGTTTCCGGCTGAACCTTTTCGGTTCAATCTTTTCGGCTGAACCTTTTCGGTTTCGGTTTAATCTGTTGGGTTTCATCTTCTCGGCTTATCATTTTCGGTCCTTTTCGGTTTCACGTTTCCGGTTCAACGTTCTCGGTTTCACGTTTTCGGTTTTTCGTCCTTTTCGGCTCAACCTTTTCGGTTTCACGTTGTCGGCTTAACTTTTTCAGCTTAATATTTTCGGCTTAACCTTTTCGGCTCATTTTTTTCGGTCCAATTCGGTTTCACGTTTTCGGTTTCGCGTTTTCGGTATATCCTTTTCGGCTCAACCTTTTCGGTTTCATGTTTTCGGCTAAATTGTTTCGGCTTAACTTTTTCCGGCTTATCCTTCTTGGATTAAACTTTTCGGCTTATCCTTTCGGTTCTTTTCGCTTTTGCCTTTTCCGTTTCACGTTTCGGCTTAGCTTTGTCCGCTTTCATGTTCTCGGCTTAATTTGTTTCGGTTTATTGTCCTTTTCGGCTTCATGTTTTCGGCTAAACCTTTTTGGCTCATTCTTTTCGGCTTATCCTTTTGGGTCCTTTTCGGTTGCACGTTTTGGGTTTCACGTTTGTGTTCGGTTCATCCTTTTCGGCTCACCTTTCCGTTTCACGTTTTCGGCTTAGCTTTTTCGGTGTAATATTTCCGGCTTATCCTTTTCGGTCCTTTTCGGTTTTAACCTTTTCCGTTTCATGTTTTCGGCTTGATTTTTTTCGGCTTATCCTTTTCGGTCCTTTCCGGTTTCACGTTTGGGTTTGGTTTATCCTTTTCGGCTTAATTACCCTTTTCGGTTTCACGCTTTCGGCTTAACTTTTTCCGTTTTATATTTTCTGCCTTTTTCGGTTTCGTGTTTTCTGCTTAACTTTTTCGGATTTTTCAGCCAAACCTTTTCGGCTTTTTCTTTTCGGCTGATCCTTTTCGGTCCTTTTCGGTTTCACGTTTTCTGTTTCACGTTTGTTTTCGGTTCATCCTTTTCGGCTCAACCTTTTCGGTTTCACGTTTTCGGCTTAACTTTTTCCGTTTACTCTTTCGGCTTAACCTTTTCAGTTTCATGTTTTCGGCTTGAACTTGTCGGTTCAACCTATTGGTTTATTAGTTTCGGCTCGACCGTTTCGGTTTCACGTTTTCGGCTTCAAATTTTCGGTTTATTCTTTTCGGCCTAACCTTTTCGGTTTCATGTTTTCGGCTTAAGTTTTTCGGTTTAATCTTTTCGGCTCAACCTTTTCGGCTTAACCTTTTCGGTTTCACGTTTTGGGTTTCACACTTGTGTTCGGTTTATCCTTTTCCGCTCAATCTTTTCGGTTTCATGTTTTCGGCTGAAGTTTTTCGGCTTAACGTGTTCGGCTTAACCTTTTCGGCTTAACCTTTTCGGTTTAACCTTTTCGGGTTAACCTTTCGGTTTCACGTTGTGGGGTTCACGTTTGTGTTCGGTTTAGGGCCGGTCTTAACGCAGGATTCAGATCTCGACTTCGCATTCAGATTTGGTGATGAGACCGGAAGATCCAAAGAACTATATTTTTGATTGGGCAAAAAGTTCATCCGCCGGCGTCCTCTTTGGACTTAAAACAGGACGACCCAAAATGATTAAATCGAATCCCGATGTGGGTGAACCGCAACCATAGTTCTGGGACCATGGTCTACTCGCATTGCACGGCGCGTGCCCATCTACCCCCATCCACACGAACTCCATCCACCGCCGAGCGCAGAGGAGAGAGAGAGCACAAAAAGCCAACCCAAAGGGAGGGTGACTGTGCATCGTTGTTGCACGTGACTGGCGCCGAAAAAAAACGTGTGTGGGGTGTGTTGGTCTGTGGGGTAATCTCCCGTGGGTTGTCGAACCTCAAATGCACGGACGAATTGGTAGCTTTCCGTCGGACGAGGCTCGATTCAAAGTCTCACATGCATAGACATCGTGTCAGTACCGCACAGAGGCCATGTACGCGTTTGGTGTGTGCTTCTCGGGAGCGATAGCTCCCCATGTGGTGTGGCCACGTCACAGCAGTACGTCACAACAGCAATCTGGCAGTTGGTAAGCGGCGGACCTCTCGGGTTGTCGCGGTGGACTGCAGAGATTCGTTTCCGTTTGGCAGATCTGCCGTAAGACACAGACCATTTCAGTTCGGATTTGGTAAGATCCGACTCTTGTATTCTCATATCGAAATGTGAATCGAGATTTGATTTCTTCGTTAAGTCCTAACCTTATCCTTTTCGGCTCAACCTTTTAGGTTTCACGTTTTCAGCTTAACTTTTTCGGTGTAACTTTTCGGCTTATCCTTTTCGGTTTCTCGTTTTCTGCTTAACGTTTTCGGTTTATCCTTTCGGCTCAACCTTTTCGGTTTCACGTTTTCGGCTTAACTTTTTCGGCTTAATGTTTTCGGCTTAACCTTTTCGGTTTCACGTTTTCGGCTTAACTGTTTCGCGTTAACCTTTTCGGCTTAAAACCTTTTCGGTTTAACCTTTTCGGCTTAACCCTCCTAGTACGGAAGCCCAAATGGGGACACTTTGGGGACACAGCACTCAAATGCCTGCTTACATCACTCACTGTAGTCACCCTAGGCTCCGCTGTGTGCACGCACGTAGGAACCCTTGGGTCTATTTTGCTCTGGCTGAGGTGGTACGCTGTGTGACATGCTGTGCGATGCCTCTCCTGGGCCTCTGACTTGCTGTACACATCTCCCAACCACGTGTCCCCTAGATCGTAAAACTGTACATCGCCTGGTACTAGAAAAATTGGCTGACTTGGCTTCAGTATGAAAAGTGTTC